TTCAGACCTTAGGTGGCTTTGGTTTGGGGAAGACAGCTGTGCTCAACACCATATCTAGAAAGCCTGGGGCAGAGTCAGTTTCCCAGTGGTTACTGAGAGCAGCCTGAATAACAGGGTTGCTTTGGAACAGAAGGGGGTTACAAATGCTGTAACCTTTAGTTACAGCTTTAGTCTTTTATTAATTTAATCTCAGTTACATTGGACTGTGGAAACCTTAAAAACATGAGTTGTATGATTAGCTTTGCTAATCTGGTGAAAAATAGAAGGCTGATATAACATTTTAAGATCTGCAGGAAAGAAGTTTGGGGCAGGGTCTTGGAGTTGATTTTTATTGTCTCACCCCAGACCTACTGAGTCAGAATTTCTGAGGAAGGGACCTTGAATCTGACCTGTTTTCTCTCTCTCTCTTTTTTTTTTTTTAAAGATTTATTTACTTATGCAAAAAGAACTGGGGTACAGGCCAGAGGTGAGGATGGTGGTGAGAGGACTCACCAGAGACAGAGTGGGGAACAGAACAGGCAGACTGACTGAAATACACTGCTGAGGGGAGCAGCTGGTGAAACTGGAGAGGTTTGCTAAGCCATGTGGGTTTGATCCCCAGCAGGGCTGGGGTGCTGCAGTGGCTGGTGATAGCTTGATAGCCCTGTGTCTTTAACCCCTGAGCCACCAGAGAGATCCCTGGAGTCTGACCTTTTATTTATTTATTTATTTATTTTAAAGATTTATTTTTATTTATTTATACAAGCACTGGGTACAGTCAGAATCTCGGGAGGGTGAGAGAATTCACCAGAGCCAGAGCGGGGAGCAGAGCAGGCAGAAGGACAGAAGCACACTGCTGAGGGGAGCAGCGGGCGGCAGGAGAGGTCTGCGCACCATTTGGGACCCTCCGGTGGCCGGGGAGCAGCCGGGATTCGAACCGGCGCCTCAGAGGCCCCGGGCAGCTTCTCAACCCAGCGCTCAACCGCTGCGCCACCGGGGAAGCCCGAGTCTGACCTTTTAAATAAGATTGCCTCCCACCTTTGATTCTGGTGCACACTAAAAATTGAGAACTATTAAGTAGGAAATAGCATATAGCTGACTTTTTAGGTTTTCTTCCTTGAAAGAACAAGAAATCTGTATAATTTTATGTAAAAGCCGTCATACTTTCTGGGCTTCCCATCAGGCCCCAAAGTCTATTGTGCATATAAAAATACTGATCTCGGGCCTCCCCTGGTGGTGCAGGTGGTTGAGTGCTGAGCTGTGAAACTGTCCGCAGCCTCTGCAACACCGGTTCGATCCTGGCCAGCCTGTGAGGGTCCCACATGGCGCAGTAGACCTCTCCTGTCTCACCCGCTGCTCCCCTCAGCAATGTATTTCGTCAGTCTGCCTGTTCTGTTCCCCACTCTGTCTCTGGTGAATTCTCTCATCCTCCAGTGTATCTGGCCTGTACCCCGGTTTTTATATAAAAAATAAACAAATAAATCTTTAGAAAAAAAAGAATACTGATCTCTGGGCCTCCCTGGTGGTGCAAGGGGCTAAGACTCAGCACTATGAAGCTATCTGCAGCAACTGCAGCATGAGTTCAATACCCAGCCAGGTAGGTGACCCCATGGCACAGCAAACCTCTCCTGACTCTCCTGCTGCTCCCCTCAGCAGTGTATTTCAGTCAGTCTGCCTGTTCTGCTCCCCACTCTGTCTCTGGTCAATCCTCTCATCCCCGCATCTCTGATCTGCACCCCAGCTCTTGTATGCATAAATAAATCTTTTAAAAAAAATAATGATCTCTGAGAAAAGTAAATCGATGTGCATTTACAGTAATACTTCAGGAGCTGCTATTACATATATTTCTAATTAAATTCTCCCCATGATCCTGTGAGATGTGGTATGTGTTGAATGGTGGCCCCTCCAATGATATGTCCATGTCCTAACCCTGGATGTTCCCCTTGGAAAAGGGTCTTTGCGGAGGTGATCAAATTAAGGATCTCAGGATGAATTCATCCTGGATAGGGCCTAAATTGAATGACTTATAAGAGACAAAAGAGGAGAAAGCAGAGGCATAAGGAAGGTCATGTAGTGACAGAGGCTGAGTTTGGAGTGATGCTGCCACAAGCCAAGAAACACTTAGAGCCCTTCAGGGGGAGCTCCCCTTCAGGGGTAGCATGGCCTTGCTGACACCCTGAGTTTGGACTTCCAAACTCTGGGACTGTGAAAGAATAATTACTGCATTAAGCCACCAAACTTGTGACAATGTGTTTTAGCAGCTCTAGGAAACTAATACAGAGTGGTGTTATTATCCCCACTCACAATCAGAGATCTAGGTCAAGTGTAGTGGAATAAATTTTATTATAGTGACCACTGGTTTCTAGGACAATGATAACCTTGAATTGATTCTTCTTTTTAGGGGATTTATAATTTTAGTACATTGCCTTATACCTTGAAGAGGTAGACGCTCTGACAAAATTGCTGCTCATTTAGTGAAGTAAAAAGTTTGGAGGGAAGTTCTAGAATCCCCAAAAGTCTGTGTAGGAGTCATTCTTTCTGAAAGACCAAGGCCCACATGCCCCTCCCCAGTAGTTAACCTAGTGATGTTCATGGCACAGCCAGCAACAGCATCTGAAAGGCTTGGATGTGGCTGTCAGTGCCTGCTCCCTCCACGCCCCCTACCCCCAGTCGGAAACTTGCCTGATGTCAGACTTTGCCTGAGTAGGGTAATCTCCTGGGTTTTGAATTCTGTCTGGTATTATTTCTGCTCTTTCAACTATCTTTAAAATTAGCCTTGGTTTCTCAGCTTATGTGAGGACTCCATGGTGAATAATAACTAATTTAGTGCCACCACAGCCCATTTCAATAACAATCCTCTAAAAAGATATTGAACTATATTTTAACGAAACTATATTTCAAGGGTCTAAAAGCACTTCAGTATGACTTCAAGGTTAAAACGTTAACTTTCGATACACCTAGATTGGAGACCTAACTCAGTCTTTTACCAGTTATGATGGACCTTTAAGTAAGTTACTTAATATTCCTACTGGTTGGTGTCCTCACTTATTGAATTGCACTTCATAGGATTGCTGTGAGGATTAAAGGACAGACTATAAAGGGCTTAGCATGGTGATGGGCACATAGGAAGTGCTGAGAGACAGCTACAATTCTTCTCCAATGGGATACCATTTCAACACAGTTTAGATCTTCTTTCATTCTTCACTCATCCCAGGTCCACAGTCTTCCTTTTCCTTAAAATATAGATAGCTGAAAGTTGGACATTGTAGAGTTAATTTGAGCCTCTCTTATATTTGTTGAATATTCCTCTGTGGTCTAAAATTAGAATTTAATTTGAATATTTACCCTACTGCTGTTTTATTTTTCCTGGTGGGAAATGTCAATGGGATGGATGTGGAAGACTCCTGACAAGGGATAGTGAACTTGTGAGTGTTAATGATGGCTTTTTTTTTAAAGCAAAATCAAGCATATGGGATCATTAAATTATTGATGATGTTTTTTGCTGCAGAGTATTTATAAATAATACATGTGTAAGGGGTTATTTCCTTTACATTTCTTTAGGGACAACTAAAGAGTCTCTACCTTTGAGGTTAAAGAGAACTGACAGTTGGAAAAAGGTCAGCAAAATGTTCATTCATGCAGTTTCTGGGCCAAAACCCCCTCAAACTTCAACTAAGAACATAACCAACTTTATGTAACCGTATTAAAGCATCTCCCTTATTTTTAGAGCAGAAAGAGGCAGTGAATTTAATTTAGATACTAGGAGGAGGGCCTCCCCAGTGGTGCAGCGGTTGAGCGCTGGGCTGCGAAGCTGCCCACAGCCTCTGTGGTGCCGGTTTGATCCTCGGCTGCCAGCGAGGGTCCCACATGGTCCTCCATCTGTCTGCCTGTTCTGCTCCCCGCTCTGCTCTGGTGAATTCTCTCACCCTCCTGCACTTCTGACTGTACCCAGTGCTTGAATAAATAAATCTTTAAAAAAAAAAAAAAAAGAAACTAGGAGGAAAAGGTTAAAGTAATATTAATAATCTAAAAGTTTCATGCTAAATAGTATCACTTTTTTTCCAGAAAAATCTCGAAATGGAAGTAAGCTCCTGCAGATTAAAAAAATACTTAATCTCTGAAGACTATTTCTGACACAATAACTCTTTAGAATATGTTTTTGTTTTTTTTTTAAAAAAAAAGATAGAGGGGCCTCCCCTGGTGGCACAGGCGATTGAGCGCAGCGCTGTGCGGCTGTCTGCAGCCTCTTCAGGGCGGGTTCGATCCCGACTGGCGAGGGTCCCACATGGCGCAGCAGACCTCTCTTGTCTCGCCCATTGCTCCCCTCAGCAGTGTATTTCATCAGTCTGCCTGTTCTGTTCCCCACTCTCTCTCTGGTGAATCCTCTCACCCTCCCATGTATCTGGCCTGTACCCTGGTTCTTGTATAAATAAATGAATAACTCTTAAAAAAAAAAAAGACTGGAAACAGATACTAGGAAAATTATGAAGCCAGCTATAGATACCCTTCACCCATGGTTAGCTCCCCTAAATATTAAGTCCAATTTTGTTTGAAATGCTCATGTGTATGAGGGAGAGACAAAGGATACACAGTTTTCATCATATTTATGACCTTGAAGAAAGTCAAGATTCATTGCTTGTTCCTTTTTCCTTGTGAACTAAAAGGAAGGAGAGGTAAAAGAGAATCTCTTCTCTGAGGCTTTTATTTTTTCAGATCCTACATATAAATGAGATCAGATGGTATTTGTTTTTTTCTGTCTGACTTACTGCACTTAGCTCTACTCACAGTGTCACAAAATGGCAAGTTTTCCTTCTTTCTCATGGCTGATTAATTAATATATTAATATATATAGTACATATATCAGATTTTCTTTATCTGTTCATCCATTGATAGTTTCCTTTTCTTGGCTATTGTAAATAATGTTGCAATGAACATTGGTGTACAGAAATATTGTTTTTGTTTCCTTCAGGTAAATTACCAAAGTGGAATTGCTGAATCATACAACCAGTTCTATTTTTTTCTTTAATATGGAACACTTCATGTATTTGTGCCTCATCCTTGCACAGGGGCCATGCTAATCTTCTCTGTATGGTTCCAATTTTAGTATATAAATGCTGCTGAAGCAAATGCCACTTCTATTTGTAGTATTTTGAGGAACCTATAGACTCTTTTCCATAGTGCACCAATTTAAATTCCCACCAACAGGGGCCTCCCTGGTGGCTCAGGGATTAAAGACAGTGCTATCAAGCTATCACCAGCCACTACAGCGTGAGTTAGATCCCCAGTGAGGGAGCAACCCACATGGCGCAGCAGGCATCTCCTGTCGTGCCCACTGCTCCCCTCAGCAGTGTACTTCGCCAGTCTGCCTGTTCTGTTCCCCACTCTGTTTCTGGTGAATCCTCTTACCCCCTATATCACTTGCTCACACCCCAGTTCTTGTATGCACAAATAAATAAATCTTTTTAAAAAATAAATAAATTCCCACCAACAGTACACAGAGTTCCCTTTTCTCTATCTCCTTACCAACACTTGTTATTTCTTGTCATTTTGATAAAAGTCATTCTAATAGGTGTGAGCTTTTGATTTGCATTTCCCTGGTGATTAGTGATGCTAAGCACCTTTTCTTGTGCAGTCATATCCTTGAGATAAATGTGTGTTTATTCCCTCGTTGAATTATGTGGTAGTTCTATTTTTAATTTTCTGAGGAAACTCTGTTTTCCATAGTGGCTATCCCAATTTACATTCCAAATAACAGTATAAAAGGTTTTTTGTTTTTTTTTTTAAAGATTTATGTATTTATACAAGCACTGGGTACAGTAAGAAGCGCGGGAGGGTGAGAGAATTCACCAGAGCCAGAGTGGGAAACAGAACAGGTAGACAAATGAAGAAATACACTGCTGAGGGGAGCAGCGGGCACGGCAGGAGAGGTCTGCACACCATGTGGGACCCTCGCAGGGTGGGGCCAGGGATTGAACCGGCGCTGCAGAGGCTGTGGGCAGCTTCGCAGCCCAGTGCTCAACCAGGGGAGGCCCTAAGGTTTTTCTGTTCTCCACATCCTCGCCAACACTTGTTATCTCTTCTCTATTTGATATTAGCCATCCTAATACATGTAAGGTAATATCTCATTGAGGTCTTGATTTGCATTTCCCTAGTGATTAGTGTTGCTAAAACCCATATGCCTGTTGTCCATTTGTACATCTTCTCTGGAAAATGTCTACCCAGGTCCTTTGCACATTTTCTGATTGGATTCTTTAGGGTTTTTTGGCTTTTTTTTTTTTTTTAAAGATATACTTATTCATGCAAAGAGTTAGGGTACAGGCCAGAGATGCAGGAGGTGAGAGGATTCACCAAGGACAGAGTGGGGAACAGAACAGGCAGATTGACCAAAGTACACTGCTGAGGGGAGCAGTGGGTGAGTCAGGAGAGGTCTGCTGCGCCATGTGGGTTTCTCCCTGGCTGGCTGGGGATCGAATTCGTGCTGCAGAGGCTGCGGATTGCTTCACAGTGCGGTGCTTAACCCGCTGTGCCACCGGGGAGGCTCTTCTTGGCTTGTTTTATTATTGAGTTGTAGCGTTTTGGCTATTAACCCCCTTCAGATATATGGCTTGCAAAAATGTTCTCCCATTCCATAGGTTGCCTTTTCATTTTGTTGATCGTCTTACTTTTCTTTAACCAACTACAAGATCTGACTGAACGGGCCTCCCCAGGTGGCTCAGCGGTTGAGCGCTGGGCTGCGAAGCTGCCCGCAGCCTCTGCAGAGCAGTTTCGATCCCCAGCCGCTCACGAGAGTCCCACATGGCGTTCAGACCTCTCCTGCCACGCCCGCTATTTCCCTCAGCAGTGTATTTCGTCAGTCTGCCTGTTCTGTTCCCCGCTCTGGCTCTGGTGAATCCTCTCACCCTCCCATCCTTCAGACTGTACCCAGTGCTTGTATAAATAAATAAATATATCTTTAAAAAAAAAATCTGACTGAAGGCCTAATTAATCCTATTGACACTAAACTTATAGGAAAAAAGAGAAAAATGTTAAGAAAACTAGTGGGTGCCAAGGATGTTTAAACATATAGAGGTGTCAGGTGGTATCCTGTGTAGAGCACTTGTTTCTCTCCCTCGCAGACATCCAACCTCTGGTCCTCAGCGTGAGCGCTGAACCTGGAAAGAAGAGACACTGGAAACCTTGCCATCAGATAAAACCGAATTAATCCTGCTTTCTCTCAGCCATACTTACGAAGACAGGAATAAAGACTTATTTTGGAAAGTTTTCTAACAACAAAGTTAAGTCTTGATTAACTAGAGAACTCAGTGAATCAGAGTGCACTATTTGGGGCCTGGCATAAGCTCTGTCTGCAGTTGAAGCTCAGGGAATGTGTGTTATTCCCCTAAGGATTATGGTTGAGACTGTGCTGCCCAAAGATGTACTAAAGCACGGCAATGTTTTTCATCCTGCGTGAGTCCTGCTGCCTGCATTCCCTCACTGCTGTTCTTCAGTGTTCTTGCAGGAAAAGAGATCTAGGGTGACAGGAAATGTGATGGCTCACCTCACGTTATTTTATATTCCTGAATCCTTCCATTGTTGGCTCGGTCTCTGATTTTGGGAACAGCTGTGTTCTGCTTGGGGATGTTTTTATTTCCTAGAACACATACACCGATTGCAGTGGAGCCTGAGGATGGAAAGGTTTGATGTGTGTGGCTGTCTAACAGCTTTTTTTTGCACAACCCTTTGACTACAAAAAGAAATCGAAGTGTGTTAATCATGCTGATCAGCAAGGGCCAGGGATTCCTTCACTTTGGTGTGTGTCTCTGGTTGTATATATTCACACCTGTCTTGAAAGGTAGGTTTTTGTTCCTGCTTCATCACATATTCCTTTTTAGCTACATGTATTTATTTTTCTAGTTGTGCTTGAATGAACAGAGATGAAATATTCCATGGGTAAATATGTCGAATTAATGCTGTTAAAACTGTTAATTAATCTATTTTTATTGGTTATGTTTAACATATGAGATTTGGGGAGTGGGATAGGGAGGACAATGAGACATTGTAAGTCATATTTGATTTCCCTAATTAAAATGGCAGTAATAATAATGATGCAGTTTTCTATCCAGCTCTGCTATGAATATATTCAATTTATTTATTTGTATTAGTATTTAATGTTGTTTCAAACCTGTGATTTATTTGTTAGTTGATGCTGTTACTTAGTCTATGAAATCATCCCTTTGGAAGGTAATCATCTTTGATTTGGGAACCAGATCATATTACTATGCTGAAATGTGTTATAAGAGTAAGATCATTCATTTTAAAAGTTAATACTTAGAAGCACATAACCATTGTTCTGCTGAACAAAAGCATATTTATGTGCTGTTGGCTTTGCAGGGGGCAAGAGACTCATGGAAGGTTTATCTAAATAATCTCAAAGGGGAGAAAAGAGGAATAATTTGTTTTTATTGTCTATTTAAGCTTTAATACCGTCATTATTAATTCTGATGGTAAGAAGTCTGTTTTGTGTTTGGAACTGTTCTTTCGTGCTGATATCTCAGCATTTCAGGGTTTCCAAATGAATGTGTCAAACAACTTTTTATTCAGTAATAAATAGATATGCTTTCATTTTTATTTTTAAGTTTTTCAATACCCTGGATTTTTTTCTTTCCGAGTGTAAATTCTTTGAAAAATTTGTAGGTGTCAAATTTGAATGCTATAAGGGAAGATGAAAAGGAGAGCATTAATGAAATGAATTATGTCAAATGAGGGCAAGTCACATGCTTTTAATGTTTTCTTGGAAAAATACAAAGAGATATGCATTAAGCTGTTGCCTAAAATCTAATTGCTAGAAGAGTTAGTTTCTTCTAAGAACTAATTTTGAATTTCTAAATAAAAAATATTAAGGAAACTTGCCGTAAAAACTTTAAACTCTCATAAAACTCTAAAACAATTGAGGCTACTAGAGTGGGGGTGGGAACAAATTGGGGTGAGTGCCCAGTGGGTACTTGGACGGCAGTGGGGTGGTAACGGACATGTGAGGAGCTGTGACCCTAGTTCACTCAATCACAGTGCTGTAAACCTTGTTACCTCAAAAAAACAAAAAAAAAGGAATTTAAAAGTTGGTTTTAAAAAGGTGTATGGGGGCCTCCCTGGTGGCGCAAGGGGTTAAGACGCAACCTATGAAGCAGTCTGCAGCCACTGCAGCACGAGTTCCATCCCCGGCCAGCCTGGGAGCTACCCACATGACGCAGCAGACCTCTCCTGACTTGCCCGCTGTGCTCCTCAGCAGTGTATGTTGGTCAATCTGCTGTTCTGTCTCTGGTGAATCCTCTCACACCCTGCATCTTTGGCCTGTACCCCAGCTCTTGTATGCATAAATAAATAAATCTTAAAAAAAAAAAGCAAGGTGTATGGCTTGTTAGGACAGTATTAAATTACTAGTTATTTCAGGTTGCTGGGTGAAGCCTTCCCTTTCTCATTGTAGAAACAGAGGTCAGTTGTATGCCTGTTTTGATAAGCAAGGACAGGATTTTTCCTTAGTCATTGGATCAGTAAGATTGTAAGTTACATTCAGAGATACAAGCAAACATCCCCAACGTCCTGCAAGCCCTTACATTTGTGGTGGCTTAAACTTTATTTATTTTTTTTTTTAAAGATTTATTTATTTATGCATACAAGAGCTGGGGTACAGGCCAGAGATGCCGGGGTTGGGGGGGTGAGAGGATTCACCAGAGACAGAGCGGGGAACAGAACAGGCAGATTGACTGAAATACACTGCTGAGGGGAGCAGCAGGCGAGACAGGAGAGGTCTGCCTCGCCATGTGGGTTGCTCCCCGGCTGGCCAGGGATCGAACTCGTGCTGCAGAGGCTGCGGATTCCTTCATAGTGTAGTGCTTAACCCCTTGCACCACCAGGGAGGCCCATGTGGCTTAAACTTTAAAAGGCTAAAGATTTATATGAAGAGAAACAAGAGTATTTGTGTCTTAACTTTAAAAAATGCTCTGTTGTGCTATCATAACAGTGAGAGATGCAGGCATTACTGCAATTATCTCCATTGCAAAGGTGAACAGAGGAGGCTCGGGAAGATACATGAAATGGGCACCAGTGGATCTGTGCGTGGGTGACCATAGTGCAGGGGCAGGGTGTTCAATGGGCTTGGATGCCCCACAGTCCACATCATCCTGTGATGGAAACTGCCAGAACCTCCACCTACTCCGCCCTCTCTGTTTCTCTAACTCTTGCCTCTGTTTGGCCACACAGGTTGTGCATCGGAGGAGAGACTCTTTCACAAACTGTTTTCTCATTATAACCAGTTCATCAGGCCTGTGGAAAATGTTTCAGATCCTGTCACAGTGCATTTTGAATTGGCCATCACACAGCTGGCCAAGGTGGTGAGTGCCTAGTCTGCCTTGTGCATCTCAGGAGCTGGGCTCAGAGGGGTCAGAGTAATTCCCTAACACTGTCCCTCTTACTGCACTTGGTAATTAAGGGAATTTAAAAATGCAAAGAATCTATATAAGTGCTGGTTCTTCAAAGTCACTGCCCCAGGAAGGCTATACTTGCCCCACTGGTGCTGTAATTATTCACATTAAGGCATTACTTTTCTGTAAGTGCTTTCAGAACCAGTTTATGAAGCAGGTGAAGGGAGAATACAAAAGGAGCTAACTTTCAGGGTGTGCCTGTTATGAACCCTACACTGTCTGCGCTTGGTGGTTACTGACTCCATTTTACAGCTTCAGAGACAGAAGTTCAGTTAAGCAACTTTCCCAAGGTCATGCAATTACAAGTGTGGAACAAGATTATGCTGTTTTTACTGCATGGAAAAAGAATTACCTTAAATTTTCTATGTTATATCAGGAAGAAAAAATTATATTTTTTTCATAAAGGATTTCATTTAGCTCTGAAAAAACAGATGTGAATTTGGAAGTCTTTTTAAAATTTATTGCTACCATGTTCAAGGGCGAGTTGGACTAGAGGTTTGTTTGAATAATCTTCATGCCTTAGTAGGTGGGAGAGGAGCTAGTAGGGTCTGGTACTCTGACACACTAGGAATCTGGGGTCCATGGCAAGGGAATGAGGAAGCAGGCCTGGCTTAAAGCAGCATGAATAACTCAGATTTGGCTCTTTTCAGTTGCAATTCTTGTTCTAAGACCTTTGTCTAATAGCAAGTACTTTTTTATTTTTTTTAAAGATTTATTTATTTATTTATTTATTTATTTATTTATTTATTTATTTATTTATTTATTTATACATGCACTGGGTACAGTCAGAAGTGCGGGAGGGTGAGAGAATTCACCAGAGCCAGAGCTGGGAGCAGAGCAGGCAGAAGGACCGAAGTACACTGCTGAGGGGAGCAGCGGGCGGCAGGAGAGGTCTGCGCGCCATGCGGGACCCTCCTTCGGTGGCCAGGGAGCAGCCGGGGATCAAACCGGCGCAGCAGAGGCCGCGGGTAGCTTCACAACCCAGCACTTAACCGCTGCGCCACTGGGGAGGCCCCTAATAGCAAGTACTTTTGAGGCTAAAAATATTCTTTCTTCTTCCCAGGATGAAGTAAACCAGATCATGGAAACCAATTTGTGGCTACGTCACGTACGTGTCTCCATCACATGTTCTTCTCTTGGATCTGTCACTGTGTATGGCCTAAAAATGTATAGTGGATAAATCCACCAGGATTTCCTCCTCCCATTGACAATTTATGATCGAGCATAAACTATCTGTCTCCAAAGCTAAAGTTAAGCTCTGGTAATGGCTGGCTTCATGGAAGCTTCATAGGTGCAGAAATCTAGTGACGACAGTTTCCCTGTCATAGCTTCTGTCCTTTTGGCTTCTGTTCTCAAGTCTTCTTATTTTTATCTGCAACTTGAACTCCAGAGTCTGGTGCTTTCCTACTCTTTGATGTTTTTGACTTAGCCCTATAGAAGTCAGCAGCTGAGTATAAGAACATGAGCGGTAGATTCTCATGAGCTAGCTCTATCAGTTGTGACATATAGTCCTTCCTTCCTGTTCTAACTTCCGCACAGATTTTGTGGCAAACTCATCATTGTGCACTGGAAATATTTTTTTTAATATTAGAAATGACACAAGTTCCATCCCCAGCTGGCCAGGGAGCTGACCCACATGGCGCAGCAGACCTCTCCTGTCTCTCCTGCTGCTCCCCTCAGCAGTGTATTTCAGTCAGAGGTGTAGGTGGTGAGAGGATTCACCAGAGACAGACTGGGGAGCAGAACAGGCAGACTGACTGAAATACACTGTTGAGGGGAGAGTGAGCTAGATAGGAGAGGTCTATTGCGCCAGGTGGATAGCTCTCTGGTCTACCGGGGATTGAACTCATGCTGCAGGGGCTGAGGATTGCTTCATAGTGCTATGCTTAATCCCTTGCACCACCAGGGCAGCCCAATCTCTGAGCTTTTGAAACCAATGTACTCTTTAAATAAGAATTTTTTTTCAATAAACTGCTCAATCAACATAGATTTAACATTAGAAGAAAGTTATTAAGAAATTTTTAGAGGGCCTCCCCGGTGGCGCAGCGGTTGAGCACTGGGTTGCGAAGCTGCCCGCAGCCTCTGCAGCGCTGGTTCCATCCCCGGCTGCTTCCAGGCCACCGGAGAAGGGTCCCACATGGCGCGCAGACCTCTCCTGCCGCCCGCTGCTCCCCTCAGCAGTGTGCTTCTGTCCTTCTGCCTGCTCTGCTCCCCGCTCTGGCTCTGGTGAATTCTCTCACCCTCCTGCTCTTCTGACTGTACCAAGTGCTTGTATAAATAAATAAATAAATCTTAAAAAAAAAAAGTGCAAAAAAGTTAAAATAAAAAAGAAAGAAATGTAAGATATTTATTTAAAAAAAAAAAGAAATTTTTAGAAACCGATTTCTATTTTCTTTAGATCTGGAATGATTATAAATTGCGCTGGGACCCAATGGAATATGACGGTATTGAGACACTTCGTATTCCAGCAGACAAGATCTGGAAGCCTGACATTGTTCTCTATAACAAGTATGGGTACCTGACAGCCTTTGTCTCTTTCCCAAGCTGCCTTTGGTAAACCTGCTGACCAATAATAAAGGGGGAAGGGATGCTACTAATGGGGTTTGCTTTCCTTGCAGTGCTGTTGGTGACTTCCAAGTCAAAGGCAAGACAAAAGCTCTTCTGAAATACGATGGCATGATAACCTGGACTCCACCAGCTATTTTTAAAAGTTCCTGTCCCATGGATATCACCTTTTTCCCTTTTGATCATCAAAATTGTTCCCTGAAATTTGGATCCTGGACATATGACAAAGCTGAAATTGATCTTCTGATCATTGGATCTAAAGTGGATATGAATGATTTTTGGGAAAACAGTGAATGGGAAATCGTTGATGCTTCTGGCTATAAGCATGACATAAAATACAACTGTTGTGAAGAGATATACACAGATATAACCTATTCTTTTTACATTAGAAGATTGCCAATGTTTTACACCATTAATCTGATTATCCCATGTCTTTTTATTTCATTCCTAACTGTGTTGGTCTTTTATCTTCCTTCTGATTGTGGTGAAAAAGTGACACTTTGCATTTCTGTTCTGCTTTCTCTGACTGTGTTTTTACTGGTGATCACAGAAACCATCCCATCAACATCACTGGTGATCCCCTTGGTTGGGGAGTACTTACTCTTCACCATGATCTTCATCACTCTGTCCATCGTGGTGACTGTGTTTGTGTTGAACATACACTACCGCACCCCCACAACACACACTATGCCCAAGTGGGTGAAGGAGGCTTTCCTTCAATTGTTACCCCAGATCTTGATGATGAGGAGGCCTCCGGACAAGCTAAGGGAGACAAGTACTGATAAAAAAGCCAAAGGCATTTCCAGTAGGCCAGCCAAAGTCAAGTTTGATAATCACAGAGAGCCCAGATTTCTTAAAGAATGCTGCCACTGCCATAAGTCAAGTGAGCTTTCCACCAGCAAGAGAAGGTTAAGTCATCAGCCTTTACAATGGATGACAGAAAATTCAGAGCACTCACCGGAAGTTGATGATGTCATTAATAGTGTTCAATTCATTGCAGAAAACATGAAGAGCCAAAATGAAACCAAGGAGGTAAATGCATGTCTCCTCTGACCTGTCCCCCAGTTGCAGGCCTAGAGGCACTTAATAGCCTGGTCCTAGCTTCTGAGTGAGATCTGTTTACAAGAGGGTGGGGCTGCTTTGGTCTAAGCTCCACTTCTGTTACTGTGTGGCTTTGGGGGGACTGATCTGGAGCTTGAGGAGGGTGTAGGGTGTAACTCTAGGCAAATCTCCACCACCAAAAATGTTACTGCAAGTGAAATCCGGTCAAAAGAAAAATTTAAAGATACCTTGGTTAATGAAACGAAGAATCTCTCCACAGGAAACACAGGCAGGCAGAGGTAAGAAGGGAAATCTGCTCCTGGGCAGAAAGGAGGAATGACCACGGAGCAGCTGATTGCCCTGGAGCCCTGGGTGGCAGGACAAGGCTGTGGCAGCAGCTCTCCCACTGGTTCTGGTGGGAAGGGATTTGGGGGCTGATTGAATGATATTTTTAGAATATCAGCATATTTTGCTACTGCTGCCTAGGGTCTAACTATAGCAGCATGGGACCTCCCCCCCACTCCAAAGGGAGTTCAAAAAAAGCATGCCAGACAACTGAAACTCATGCCAGGTACCCAGGTTTGATGCCATATTGTGACTACCAGTCATATCCGTGTCTGTTAGTGAAGGATATGCGGAGACCTGAAGTCTGCCCTGTTGGTGTGGGGACCATACTGCAGGTCACACCGGGTGGGAGTGGCAGGCACGTCACAGGACAAGGGAGCTCAGAACTCACTGCATGGTGAAAATCTAGGAGGGAGGTGCTGTTGACTCACTCCCTACCAGGCAGGGCTCGCAAGACACCACCAGGAGACTCTAGCAGACTTGTGCAGGCCAGGGATTGGGAAGATAGGAGAGATGCAGCTAACTCTCCACAAACGCTAGGACAGAAGGTCTGGAGGGTTGCCCTGGCTGGTACCCCACATCTTACACCCATGACCTCCCCCCCACCCCGTGCCCTGTTCCCTAGACTTGCTGGTAAATCAGAATATCCAGTGGTGCCCATAACAAGCATTGAGCAATGTGAGTAGCTATTTCTTGGGATTGCCTCTTACACTCAGGAAAGTTCCCTGAAATTCCTTGGAATTCTGTATGCTCTGCAGGGACACTGAATACGGTTAATCAGAGCAATACCAATATTTGCTTTAAAATTGCCAGAGGTGGGAGGGGCCTCTCTGGTGGCAGAAGGGGTTAAGTCTCAGCACTGTGAAGATATCCAAAGCCACTGCAGCACAAGTTCGATCCCCAGCCGGCAAGGGAGCTATCCACATGGCTCAGCAGACCTCTCCTGGCTTTCCCACTGCTCCCCTCAGCAGTGTATTTCAGTAGATCTGCCTGTTCTGCTCCCCAGTCAGGTGAATCCTCTCATCCCTTGCAACTCTGGACTGTAACCCAGCTCTTATATGCATAAATAAATCTTTGAGGGCCTCCCCTGGTGGCTCAGGCGGTTGAGCGCTGCGCTGTGAAGCTGTCCGCAGCCTCTGCAGTGCCAGTTCTATCCCCACCAGCCTTGGAGCAACCCACATAGCGAGCAGACCTCTCCTGTCTCACCAGCTGCTCCCCTCAGCAGTGTATTTCGTCAGTCTGCCTGTTCTGTTCCCTGCTCTGTCTCTGGTGAATCCTCTCATCCTCCCGCACCTCTGGCCTGTACCCCAGTTCTTGTATAAATAAATAAATCTTTAAAATAAATAAATAAACAAACAAACAAACAAATAAATAAATCTTTGAGGGAAAAAAACTGCCAGGGGGAAAAACATCTTTGTAAAGGAAGCAACTTATCTATGAAACAGAACCTATTTCTTATCGTTTTGATTTTTTAAAAATTGTTTTGAATTTTTGTTTGCCTTTCAGGTGGAAGATGACTGGAAATATGTGGCCATGGTAGTGGACAGAGTATTTCTTTGGGTATTTATAATTGTCTGTGTGTTTGGAACTGCAGGACTATTTCTACAGCCACTTCTGGGGAACACAGGAAAATCTTAAGGGTGTGTTTTCCTTTAATCTTTAGAAATTTCTAGATATTCTATTTGTTCTATGGTCCCTCCCATAAGGAAGGAGACAGAAAACTTCCCACCCAAGTTCCCCATCTACTGTAGCTCGTGACCAGATGGACACAGGACTTTATTGCAAATCAGGAGGCAAAATGCCCTTCTCTATAGCACTGAGTACTTTAAGATGTTTATACCACCACAGCCCAGAACTGGCAGGACCCACAGGCTTCTCTTGTCTGTACCTGTTTGGCTTCCAAGGACATGAATGACCCACAATACAGCCAACTAGTAATGAACATTAAGCCATGCTAGAAAGAGGTTCTGTCATGTTCCTCCAGTTTATGCTGCTTGTTAGTACAATGACAGATGGCAGACGTGAAACTCTGGAACTTGGACCTTGCTGACACCTGCAAGTGCTTGTGAACTATTTATGCTGCTTTCTTGTGTTGTCTTTGTGATCTAGCTCACACCCTTTATCATTATTTGATACATTAAATGGCAAAAAGTAATTAACAGTAGGTAGTCAGTGGCTGTGTCAGCAGGCTGTACTGAATAAGCATTCATCTTGAAAGAAGCGCTAACCCAACACTGTGCTAGGCATTGTAATGGTAGCAGAAATAGATTCTGTCCCCCAGCATTTAACAGCTTTTCAGGAAAAGTCACAAACACAAAGATCTGCAAGACCAGGTGTGTTGGGGGAAATGTCATTAGGACCATCAAAATAGGAGAAGGAGAATGCGATGTGCTGTGAAGCAAACCTGACGCAATATCTGTTGTTAAAAAAAAAAAAGTGTGCTTCTCTAACAGGGTGGTGGGTGGTTCCAATCTTTTCTCGTCAACAATTTCCATTCGTTCATTGTAGTTGACACTGGAAATAAAATGATTTCATCTCTAAGGAATGGAAAGTTTTGTTGCAATTCCTTTCCTGATAGGGAAAGAACATTGGGCTTTCTGTTTTATTCCACCCCAATTTATCTTCTTATTGTTTATGCAAATATTATAACAATTTTAAAGGTGGATTGTACAACAGGGAAAATAAATCTACACTAACAAAGGGACTAATTTAATTTTTACCATTTTCCTTCTGGTCCTTATTTATACACAAATAATTTCACGTTTCAAATTTGCCTTTGTTGTTTTCTCAAAACACCATGTTAGCAACATTTCTCCATGATGTTACATAATCTCAAAGTATGATTTTTATGATTGCATAATCTCTGTTATGTTGATACAAGATAATTCCCATCACCACGTGTCAATTCTCCCTTGACTCTGTCACACAAAAGCATAGGCAGTCTGTGGTACACCAGCAGAGCTCTTGAATTTACTCTAAAGTATTTTGCCTCAGAAAATAACACTAGTCTAAAAATTAGGAATAAGTGGAATTAAACTAACCACACTTTTATATTCCCTTCAGGACTGTCAACTCACTAAACTGCATTCCCTCTCTAGGATTAATTGTTAACTCACTGCCTTGCACTCCTCACTCCCTCCTTATTAAGGGGAGTGCAGGCTCCAGCAGCATTCTTGGGAACTTGGAAAATTGATTGTGCTAAGTACCTAATAAATTTCTCAGTGTCAGAGTCTGAGTTGATAGGGGCATCAGAAACAATATCTTAATGCTTGTGAAGACACCCTGGTGGCACAGTCAATACCTTGACTCACTAAGACTGCCTGGCACTTCCTCAGACCTGGAAATGTGAAGCCCCAACTCCCTCACAGGCCTTCACCCCTTGTTAGTCTTGTTAGGGGGAAAAGGATGTCCCAAAGCAAATTCCATATAGGCTTTGTGGACTCCACCCCCACCCCAGGTCAAAGCCAAAGACACTGGGAACTCCAAATCCCATCACCACCAAAGGGAAGGTGGCTGGGACCTGAGGGTGGGGTTAAGCAGCCAGGTGGATACAAAAGGCAGACACGTGGGCTTTGGGGGCTCTCCATTTTTGGGCTCCCCGCCAGCTCAGCTCCACCCTCCCTTGGGTGGGGCAGGGAACCTCCCCCTTTCCTGGGGACCACCCTGTTGCAGTCTCAGTTCTAGTTCTCTACCATTTGGGGAACTGGCTGTTCATATAAAACTCTTTCATGTAAAGACAATTCTTATGATTCATAGTTTGCTTTTCTGGGTGTGAGCAAAAGACCTGGTTTGGTTGGTTACAAAAGGGCAAAAGCTTAGGGAGTGATGAACTTTTCCTCAGTTAGGGTAAGGCAAAGGACTCAGAAGCAGGAGAGCTTCTCAACTTCTAGGGCCTTCTTAAAATAATCTGCATGTTTAAAGTAATAGTGAGAGGTTCTCTGGGAACCACAGGGCCTCAATGAATTTTAATTAAAAAGTTAGGTGCACTTATTGGAAAGAGCCTGCTCTAGGAATATTGAGAAAATCCTATCTAACTCTTTTGGGCAGACAAATCCCACAGGTGCTTGATTTTCTGATTTTTTTATAGTGTTAAAAAACAACAACAAAAAACAGCTCCAAAATGGAACACTTCATGCCAGGAACCCTGCTGCAACCCGCCCCCACCCCTAGGCTTAATCCCTAAACCTAACTGTAGTTACAGCCTCTCCCCAAAATGGAATTAAACCCAATCAATCTGGGGTTTCCTGGTTTGCCTAGTGAAATATCTGCATGATGAGAATACCACCCACCCCCTTCAGGAATGTGGGTTCCCAGAAGTAATCCTTCTTTTCTTTTGCTAAAGAACTTATCCCACTCTTTTTCACTGTAAAAACCTTGCATTTGAATAACTTTTTGCAGCACCTTTCTGCTTGCTAGTTGGAATGCTGCCTGATTCAGGAATCATTTAATAAAGCCAGTTAGACCTTTAAGATTAACTCAGTTGGATTTTTTGTGATTTAACAAAAGGAAACCCAAAATTTAGCTTTTTATATAAACCTTTCTAGCTTGAAAACATGGAAAGTAAAAAACAAGCATGGAAACTGTGGAACCAAGCTTAGCCGAGGTTTCGCCATTTTGTATACCCTCCACCTTGCTATGTTAGTCCTTGTCCAGCCGCATTCCGGAGATAGTTTCAGCAGTCACAACCCTCACTCCACTTGGTGACGAAAAAGCAGACCACCCCAGCCGCCAATGAGGGCAGTCCTATCCATAAATGGGACAGCATCTCTAACCGTCCAATCAGTTTGAAACTGTAACCGCGCACCAAAATGCCTTTGTAGTAGCCAATGAGTAATCGCCAGCTTCTTTCAAAGTTCGCGCCACTCGCGACCCTATAAGATACCCCTGCTTCCTCTGTTTGGGCTCTCGACCTCTGCCATTGCATCAGTGCGTGTCGAGGGCCCGGTCTCGAGCCCGTAATAAACTCCCTTTTGCATTTGCATCAGCTGTGTTTGGATTCTTGGAGGCTATGCTCGCGGAGTCTGCTGATCTTGGGCACAACAGAAACCAAATTACGAAGTAAAAATAAAATCTTTGTGTCAGCCAATCAAAACCACTGTGCAGGGCCATGGCTGTGCAGTCTTTCTCTCAACATCCCAAGGCTTGATTCTTTCTGTTGGTTGAGGCCATATAAGAGGGTTCAGAGTTGGGGTGGAGGGAAGTGCAAAAGTGGGAGTGGGAAGAGGTGGACCTAGAAAATGTTAACCAAGAAATCACTGGACAGTGATATAATCAGGGAAAGATTTATCTGACCCTATGAGTTATGATTCAGGTCCTCGACCAAGAGACAGTCCCAAGGTGTGTTCCATCAGGGTAAGGGCAGAGCGGAGCTTTAAAAGAACAGGCAGGGAGATGGTCTGAGATTAGGTCAGTTGTGGTGACATTTTTGGATTGATTCCTTTTATTTTTATTTATTTATTTTTTTTATAGAGGCATGTTTTATTTATTTATTTGTTTGTTTGTTTCTTTATACATGCACTGGGTACAGGCAGAAGCGCAGGAGAGTGAGAGAATTCACCAGAGCCAGAGCGGGGAGCAGAGCAGGCAGAAGGACCGAAGTACACTGCTGAGGGGAGCAGCGGGCGGCAGGAGAGGTCTGCGCGCCATGTGGGACCCTCCTCCAGTGGCCGGGGAGCAGCCGGGGATCGAACCGGCACCGCAGAGGCCGCGGGCAGCTTCGCAACCCAGCGCTCAACCGCTGCGCCACCGGGGAGGCCCCTGGATTGATTCCTTTTAAAAAAAAAAAATTATTTATGCATACAAGAGCTGGGGTGCAGGCCCGAGGTGCGGGGGTGGAGTTGGGGTTGAAGAGGTTTCACCAGAGACAGAATGGGGAGCAGAACAGGTAGGTCTATTGAAATACACTGCAGGTGTTGGGGGGGCCACCCTATAACACAGGGAGTAGCTGGCAAGACAGGAGAGGTCTGCTGCACCACGTGGGTCACCTTCCTGGCTGGGGATCGAACTCGTGCTGCAGTGGCTGACAATTGCTTGATAGCACTGAGACTTTAACCTTTGTGCCACCAGGGAGGCCCCAGGACATTTAAAAAATATGTATTTTTTTTTGGCATAAAAGAACTGGGTTGTAGGCCAGAGATGTGTGTGGGAATGAGGGGGTGAGAAGATTCACCAGAGACAGCGGGAGCAGAAAAGGCAGCTCTACTGAAATACACTGCTACGGGGAACAGTGGGTGAGACAGGAGAGATCTGCTGTACCATGTGGGTTAGCTCCCTGGCAGGAGATCTAACTCAGGCCATTGCAGTGGGCTGTCAGGTGGGAGCCCTGACACAGACACCCTAGGCCACCAGGTGGGCCTTATAAAGGCCTTATTGTACTAGGAAGAACTAATCCCCTTCCATCTTTTCAATTGAAAAAGCAGAACTTAAATCTACATACCTTTATCTACTATGCCTTCCTTGGTATTCTCCCTAACTAACCTTATCCTTTCTTCTTCATACTCTTCTTTGTTTTAGTTAAGCTATTTAAGATGGCTGCTGAAGTCATGTGGTGAGTTACTCAATCATGCTGGGTCTCTCACTATATACAGGAGGTATATACATTATTTTTTTTTTTTTTTTTTATAGAGGCATGTTTTTTA